GGACTGAAACAGTGATCTTCTCTTAAATATTTCAATAAAAGTTACATTTTAAGGAAATCCGAGAGTGCAGCCAACTATTTCAATTGCCTATATATATATATATATATATATAAGACCCTACATAGCACAATGAATTATGGGGCTGGCATAGATTTTTTTCCAGGGCTGCTTCGTATCCCCAGTCCGGCCCTGCTTTTGGGGTGTTGCAAAATTGTTTATTTTTCTGTACTTGGAGATAATTGAGTTTAGTAAATTTACTGACTCAATTATCTCGCAGTCACAGAGGAGGAGTTTATGGACTGTATAAATTTGATGCCTGTACTTCCATAAAAATTAGTCTTCACCCAGCATTAAGCCTTGGCTCATGTTTGGGGGGTTTATTCTATGCCAGTGATATTTTGCCTGTGGGTATTATTTACTGTTTTTCTTGGAAAAGGGGTATCCGTGACGGTGACCGTCACACTCACAATACAATAGGGGAGTGCAATCAAAGCAACATATAAAAATAATAGTAAAAAAATACTTATTGTAAATAGTGGAAAGCAATGTGATGGATGTAGCTTTTTACAGAACCATTCAAATTAACCTGAGCCTTATGACTAAGTTTAACATTTCCCTATATCTACTAAATATATAAAACTGTATACCATCAAAAATTTTAAAGAACTGCACTCATTTCATTTGCGCAATAACTGGGTGCAACCAGGCCAAGGGCTAGAACTAACCCCAAACAGTGGAATCCAAAGTAGAAGAAAAATGTCCAGGCACCCGAAAGCTCAGTAAGACACATTTATTAGAACAAGGTTTTCAAGCAACGTTTCAACCCTATGTTCTTTATCAAGCCAAACCTGACAAAGTCCCAATGTAGGGTTTAAATGTTGCTGGAAAACTTTTTTCTAATACATGTGCCTTGCTGAGCTTTGGAGTGCTTGGACATTTTTCTTCTACTTTGGATAAAACTAGTGACTGGGCAACTACTGGAGATGGGGCCTGTGAAATAACAGTTGGGAACATAGGTCTCCCTATGCCACCACCTGTGGGTATTGGGATGGTAAGAATAAAAATATACTGGAAGGTGGGCAGATCACTGTCCACCCCACTAGCATTATGTCCTCCTCCTTCCCCATGTGGCTATGGGTCACCAAGTCTCTAGCCACCCCAATAAAATATAATTGCCCATATCTACTCCCCTCAATCCAATAATATTGACGGGACCAATAAAACTAATTGCAAAATAAAATGATGTAAAAAAAATAATCTAATCTTTCCATCTTCACTCTGCGACTGCTTGCCGCAATCTCACTTCTTTGAAACATGGCTTTCACAGCGCTTTGAGTGGTTGGCTTCCTAGCAATCAGATATGCGATACATAAATGATCATACATAAGCAGATGAAGATCAGACAATGCATAATGTCAACATAAGGGAATTTCATCTGAGTGTGAATTTTGTGATTATTATAGCAAACACTAGCTGTGTCTGAACTTGAAATACATTATACAAATAACTGAGATTCCTGGTGACACAGCTACAAGAGGCAAAAATATATTTAGCATACAACAGAACAACTTATTGTGGTGTACTAGGGGAGACAGCTCCACAGGAAGATTTGAGTATGAAATTGAGTAATCAGTGGGATGGTGGTTAACTTGGATCTAGTTTGTCTGGGACATGCCTGGTTTGACCTACATAGGCCACAGAATCATGGCATTGAAGTAAGAAGATAACATAAGAAAAAATAGAAAATAATAGAAAGAAAGAAAATAAAACAGATAATTCTAATACTATTAACTAAACTTAGGTAACCACCACACCCGCTGCGCCTCCAGTCACAGGAGTAAAG